CAGGGGATTGAGGCCGGTCTGTCTGTGGGAAGGGGGAATTTGCAGCACCTGTTTTGGGCATCTCATGTAGGTGCAGACCTACACTGCTGTGGTCAGAATTGCTCAGCTCTCTCTGTTGACCACAGACATCTCTAAAGTGCAACTCAGAGCATCTATGTTAGATGTGTAAAGTTAGCCAGGACAAAGGTCCTTTCAGAGTAGAAAACATACAGGTCTTTTCCTTGTCTGAGACAAATAAACCATTCAAAACTCCCTTGGCAGGCCACACTAGTACAAGCCTTATCATCATTCAACACACACGTTAAAGAGACATATGCTCAGAAGCCATGAGAAACGAAGCAATAGGCCATACCAGATCTCCTGCTGCATGTTTTGTATTGAGGCCAGAGAGATATAAATACCCCACTCTACACATGCTCTATTATAGCGCACTAGCAAAGGAGTCCTGGAAACGAACAAGTCTATGCTACTATTGACGGTAGGGAGAGAGTAAGAAAAAATATAATAGTCAAAAAAATCATATTTGGATGCCAATAAATTGTAGCTGTGCTCGCCCAGGGCTAGCACCTCTATACCTTCAAAGTTACCCTGGGGAAGACAGCAGTTTGCAATTGCAGTAGATATTAGGCAGGAAGCATCTGGACCCAGATTTTCTGTTCCATGGACCCCCAAGATTTAGAGTTTGAACACATGTATAGTCTTTAATAGCAGTCCAAACAACAACTTGTAAACCCAGAGCACGTGAGTGAACAGAGCATATAGCCCATCCCACCTTTGCTTCAACACAACTTCAGGACTAAGTGACATCAGGGAAAACAGGACAGCTGTCCATGTGCATACCAAAGTCCTATTGGACCAGCAAGGCTCCAGTTCATGGGATGACAAGAAAAGCTCCTTCAATGGAGCTTTTCTGCATGAAAGTCATTCAAGCAGTAGCTCCCACCGTCCACCTCTGGCTGCAGCTAAGCACCTCTGTATCCCACCTGCTCCAAAACCCCAGGTAGGGCATAGATTACAGCTGGCTGAGATGTCTAGCTACCTTAAGCATGGAGAACTTAAAAAAAAAAAAACATGGATATGACCATCAATGCAATGCCCTGTGCAGCAGGTGGAGCATGTGAGACTTTTCAGAGGGGCACATCTATACAACAACTGCCTGATTTCTTTTCCTGAAATTTCTTCCTTAATAATATCACCTTTAATTCTACCAGGGTTTTTGCTTGTTTATTTTGGAGGATTTTGATTTTGTTGATTGGTTATGTTTTGGGAGATACCACCAATGAGTATGCATTTGCTAGCATAACATATTTGAGGTAATAGATCTCTGCCTGTAAGGCAGAAACATCTTCACCAAAAGGACAGTTCATTCTGCCTTTTAACCTGCTGCTGCTTGCTTTAGGGCTACAAGTTTTGTTGGATGCAATTAACAGGTATTAGAGGAAGAGCATCTAAAAGTAGAAGGCAGCTTAGTCTCAGAAGCCTGTTCCAGACTGTATCCAACACGTCTACAGGACAGAAGAGAAAAGGGGTTGTTGCTCATGGATACAGTCTAAACATTTTTCTTTTTTGAAGCAACTTACTTGGTAATCATTATCTTGGCTCCAGCTTTCTCTCATTTAACCTCATCTGCCCGACTTTAAATTCATGGAACAGATTTGCACTGCCTTGGACTCCATGCAATTGGCTGCTGTAATATCATTGCACTTTTTTCATAAAAGAAAAAAAAAAAAAGAAACATTTGATACTATTAATCATATTGCCATATGTAACAAATTGGCTGCTTGTGGTACACTGCCTTGAACTGTCACATGGTTCCAACCACAGTTCTGCCAACTGAACATGGTTGCTGGAAAGTCTGACTCTTGCTTTCAAGCACTCTTACTACGAGGTCTACGGGACTCTGTCCTGTTTGTATTGTACACTAATGACCTACTGGCTGCATAGCAGCACAAAGGCCAAGAGTTACAAGTACGCACATGTTTGTAAGTGCTGCTGTACATAAGCAATAATCTGTTTGGTATCAGAGTCACATCATTATGGAGGCGGCTTTTGACAGCATTTGCACTGCTTGAAGGCTAATTCAGAACATCTCTGATTTGCAGCTTAAATATCTGCCAGAATGAAAAGTAGGGAAAGTATTAAATTTAGCTGTGTAAAATAACTCAGTGAACAAGAACACTGCTCTTAAGATTCAGCTTTTGCGATTGTCAGGGCTCTTGTCAAGTCACAGCAGGAATGCTGCAGATTTATAAGAACAATAGAATTATTTGGGGAAGAAAGAGGGGTAAGGAATTAAATCCTATTTGTAGCACTTCAGCTAACACTTTGACACAGGTTTGTTGAATCATATGAAGTAGGCATGGGCAGACTGGTTTAGATAAAAACTCCCCATTTCTTAACTGAAGATTGCCTTGGATCTGTTCTTAGGAAACAGACAGTAACCTACCGACTTTAGAGTTGGACCCGGAAACATAGTCCTGCTTTTGAATATTTAGTATCTTTTACATTGAAGTCAGATGTGGCAAGGAGAAATGTGACTACTCTAATGGAATAATTGATGATCATATATATTACATTGGAGCACTAGCAGTGGAAGAGGACCCCAGTGCATTAGCTATGACAGAACTGCAGAGCAGAGACAGCTCTGCAATCAAGAGGTTCTCAGCCCAAGCTCTAAGGTCACTGACTCAGGACCCCTCGCTTGAACTTTCTTATTCCTGTCAATTCCTACGTGAACAAAATACACAAGTACCTCTGCAGCTGCAGGCAGCAAGAAATCACCACTGTGGCCTCACCTGTTCTCATGGACCCTCTGGTCTGATGAAGAAAAGGAAGGCCTACAAAATCTAAAGGAGAAAAGAAATAATATTTCCAGAGAGTAAAGTTGTTCTCTTTGATAACTAAGCATGCAAAAGCTCTTGGTAAGACCAAAGAAGAGGGTCAAGACTGAAGATGCAGTGATATAAGGTTAATACATAGCAGTAACAGGAGCATACACCTAGACTCCCTGATGGATTTTCATGAAATGGACTAGCCTGCTTCATGTTACTTTAACTTCTGTTGTTGTTCATCCTAGCTAGACAAGCAGATAGAACAATTTATTGTTGTGAGCATATAATGCAGACAAGAAACATTAAACCATTTACACTCCAGGAAACAAATGATTTAAAGCTCAGCACCCTGGGCTCATGAGAACTGCTCCAACCCTGGACTTTGTCCTTGTGCTCTTTAACTTTGCTCACACAGAGATATACATGGAACAGAAGGTCAAGTGGTAAAAAACACAGACATTCATATTTATGAGGAAAAAAAAATATTAGCTACTCTCTGCTCACTTCTAGAGATAGTTGAGAACTTTTTCCAATTTGTTTCTTTGCTTCATGTAATCTATTTTTTTCCCCTTAATAAAATATTCAAGCTAATCCTTCATAGACTTTCCCCTAGGAAGTTACTCGAGAATATTTTTTTTCTCCTTGAAAGGTCTTGATCTTTCAAATCCTTTTACCTGTGTTTAACTCAACATGTGATAAAAATCCCAGTTGTAGGATCATTTGTGAAAAGAGACAAGCATGCATGAAAATGCTCACAGACTGTAGCATTCACAAGGAAAGAAAAGTGTATAGTTGTCAAGCAGAAAATGCACAATACTGAATCATGCTGTCAAAAAAGCTGACACCTCTACAACACTTGCTTCCTTACTACCCACTAGTGACATTTAAGGAGGAGGCAGGGAAGAGAGAAGGGAAAGTATTTCACAAGGCTTTCTTTGCAAGAAAAAGCTCTAGGAAGAAGACTTCATAAAGTATTGCTAACCTGACCCTTATGAAGGCATTGCTTTCTGGAGTGTATATAAGCAGGGGCACAGACTGTGAATACATGACTGTATTCCCATTATACTCACTGAACGACCATGTTGTTTTTGCATCATACTGAGTAGTAATTTCATGGAGCAAGTTTGTCAGGAGAAGAGTTTTATTTGGCTAGTAAGTCCAAGTAGATGAACTGAAGATGCTTAAATTGATGCAGAATACACTAGACAAGACATTAACTTTGACAGAGACAAAAGATCCTAGTTTTAGGAGGTCACAAAAGACACCCTGTGGCAAGTGGTCACAGAAAGACGGATCAACACTGTTTTAGGAATCCCTGTTTCCCAAAGAACTCCAAGGGTGAGATGTAGTGAGCGATGAGTTATATACCAGCTAGTCTCAACATTTTTTGCTTGCTAAATGCCTAGGTGTCAGATGCAAACAATATCTCACTAGCGCCGTGAACACTTCCTTAAGAGAGGCACTTTTAAATTCCATGTGAATGCCCATCTAGAAAGCAGATCAAGTATCACACAGAAGAATGGGATCTCAGCAGAGAAGGGCTTTTCACATATGTGAAATACATATACATGAAATACATAGCATTAATATATTCTTAACCTGACTATTTAAAAGCTTTCTGGAAAAAAAATGTTTTGCAGATTTGGCAAGATCTTACAAAGCAGCAGGTCATCCTGAAGACAGGCATGTGTTTAAGGCTAGATACAAGAGGTTGCCTGATCCACTGTGGTACATCTTTATACAGACATAAGGCCGCCACTGCAACAGGGGGAGACAGTTTCAGTAAATCTAACCATACATTTAAAGTTAAACCTACTGTTCATTGTCATGGTGGACGAGGATGTTAGGTTCTGTCAGACTGCTTGTGACATAAAGAGTCCCTTTTTTCCCCCCGCCTTGCAGTGGCACTGCTCCTAGACGAGCGAGCCCATCTGCCCGGACCTGCGTAATGGCAAGACTAGAGACAACAGCCACAACCACTTTGTTCCAGTTCGTATTCCTCAAACACACAAAAACAGAAGACTGTTTTGTTGGTTTTTTTTGTTTTTTTTTTTTGCTTGCAGAATTTTATCCACATAAAACACAATATGGTACAATACTTGAAATTATTAAGCAAACAAAAGATTATAATCCAGGGTACCTTTACCAAATAAGGAACATTGAAACTTATGTATTCAGCTACCTACAAGGAAAAAGAAAAATACAGCACTAGGGGAAAGAGAACCTTGCTTTAAAAGTTTAATTTATTAAATAAGAATGGAGAAAATATATGGGGAATCTTATTTAAAGACCGTTCATTTTCAAAAGTTCTATCCTGTCAGCATAGCTAAACCCTATCATTAAGATGCATTTCCAAACAGCATGACAGGACTGTTTAGGTTCCCAAAGTACCTGCTCCTCAGTTATCACACCTTGGAATCCTAGTATTAGGCTAGGCTACATTTCTAAATTCCACCTACTGAATAAACAGAGAAGAATTTCCAGTCAGTAATCCAAATCTTAATTTGTGTTTACCTACAAACTAACAGAGAAAGGGAAAAATCCTAAGATCAACCAATGAAAACTTTTTTTTTTTTTAATTCTCATATAATACATTAATGATAGCTAGAGCTTTTTTCCCTCCCCCCTTCTTTTAATAGGATGTGCCCAAGCTGTCTCACATTATCTTGGTAGCTGCTTACATATGAATAGTCAAATATATACAGTGGAGTAGAATTTGTAGATGTAGATCCAAAAGAATAAAGAGAGACCCTACCCTCTAGGCCTCTATGGAGCAAATTAAAGCAGTTAGCAAAAGGAAATACTGGCACATATGAGGGTTTTGACTTTCAAATATCCTTGAAGTTACTAAACTCTACTGCTGAGAGAGAGACAAAAACATAAACATATTTCTCGGTATACCCCTAAAACTGCAAAAGAAATAGTTATTATTTTGGCTTAGATTGAAAGACGTTTTCCACATTTAATGCCTTCTGATTATTACAGGTTTTTAGACTCCCAAAGAAGATGGCAAGTCATATGAAGGTGGTGTTTTAGTTCCAATTTTGTCTTTCTAGCTGTCTTTCAGTACAAGAGCATTATACTGGCTTTACCCTATTTGACCCTACCTGGCTTTACTACAGCCTGAAGTCAGTATGACCATGAACTATGCACATGAAGATGGGCATTCACATTAACTCATTCTGCTTCAGCACATCTGTATGGAATTTGGAACCTCAGAAGTTTTTAAAGAAGTTCTCTACCTGCTGGTCAAAACTCTGAGCAGAGTATTTTCTTAGGGCATTTAGAGGAGCCAATGAAAACTCCTCTGCAAAACTCCTGGGAGTGCTATCACTGCTATCGGCTACCTGAGAGCTGGTTGCTTCAGAGTCCCAGGCAGTGTGATCATAGCCTTCACTCATGGAAAGGGATTCCTGTGTTACCAGGGAGCTTGAGGTCTCTTCCTCATCTGGGAGGCTCCACTGCAACAGGTCACTGCTGAGGCCATGATGATCTCTTTCAGCTGAGCAGACTGGGTTGGTACAGTCTCTGACCCAGCATCGGGATGGCTCTTGGTCTGCCCAAAGAGCAATAGACTTTGGCAACATTTTCACAGTCTTTCCATTTACCACCAGCATGGGGATTCTGGACAGTCCTGAAGAGCCTTCACTCATGGGGTGCACTGCCGTACCTGCAATGGGCCCCCTCAACCTGTAAACTAAGGGGGGAGGGGGAGGGAAAAAAAAAAAAAAAAAAAACCATTGACCAAGTAGATCAACAAACCCATCAAACAACCACATTCCAGGAAAAACTTGCATCTCCTTTAATATTAATCACCAAGTACTGTTATCATTCCACCCCCCCACAACTGAAAGTCTTCAAGGAAGTGAATTAGTAACCACAAGATTAACGCAATTTGTCCAAGGTCAGAAAGCCAAATCTGTAAGGAATTAAAGATCACACTGTATTGCATCCAGTGACCTCTGCTGTTACAGAGGCAGTCCTTCCTATCTCACTAGTAAGGGCAGAGAAAGATCAGGCCCTGGGAGCCTGGACCTTGAACTAGATTTGTCATTAAGCCTCTGGGATTTCAGGGCTCTACAACTCCATCAAAACTACTATAATATTCCTGCAATCCATTTAGCTTGTGATTTAACTAGGTCTGAAAACAGAAGACTAAAACAGAACACAGAACCTAGAAGACTAGATAGACCATAAAAACTCTCCCAGGAGGGTAAAGCACAAGTCTTCTGTGAGCCTTGATGCTTCATTTTACCTTCTGTGCAGGAGTAAATCGACTCATTTGATTTACTCCTGTCCCCTTTCCAATGGTTAAAGCAACCCTTGGTTTCTATTTCTTTACTCCCTCTCTCCCCGCCAAAATTCACCCTTTTCCTAGTAGCTATACTTGAAATATATCCAGTCAGTCTTTACATGCTCTTTATGAAAGGTCTAGCAGCATCCTCCTAAACAAGTTTTTCTAATACAACAAAAGCTGCTCAAAGGCTGTGTGAATTACAACTGCCCTGGCAAGCAAACACAGAGAGGTGTTTGGAGTCTCCCACAGCTTGACCGAGATGATTGCTACTTTGCAATAAAACATGTTCAACATCTGTAAGGCTCTTATGTACTTTGGAAATGGATTTTCAGTGCATACTATCTATTTTTATTCTTAGCAGGCTGCTAGTCTTTCCAGTTTAATGTAGGACACTTACAACATCTTGTAGTTGTATCTCTTGTAGCCTTGCTACACAGAAGCCTTTGAGCTCACTAGAACAAGCTACACTGTCTGGCAGGAAATAGATATACAGCACTTTCTATGACTCCAAGTCACGTTGAATAGGTGCAAAGCCTGTAGAGCCCTTTGTTTCAGGCAAGCTACAAACCCAGTCTGCACCATGGCAAAATAATCCTATTTTTCTGAGATTAAAAAATAAACCTATTCAGACAGCCAGCATTGATGTTGTCTTAAGAGTGCCTTGACTCTACTTTCAAAAATGAGCATATTTCACAGCAAAGAAAGCGCATCAGTATTCAAAGAACATATACCTAATCAGTCTGTTCACTTTGTAAAACAAGGGTTTTGTTGTTGTTGTTTTAAGGCACCAAGCAACACAAGGACATTTGTGCTACTCCAAGAATACAGGGCAAAACAACCTGTGAGGTGTTACTTGGAGCTTTCGTATTCCTAAGCCCCTGTTTGAACTGAGGAACACATTTGCACATGGATAAGACTCCCGAGGGGTTCAGTTTCAAGAGACTAGAGCAAGAACCATGAAGCCCTGTCCCCTCTTTGCACAGTCCGACCCTCTGTAATCCCAGAAGACAAGTACAGGTGCATGAAGAAGCTGACTTGCTATCTCTGTGCCCTGTATACCCCACAGAGGCTTCAGTACCCAACTGCAGTTGCAAACAGATTAAACTCCCAGCCTCCTGCCATGCAATATTTCAGTCCCCTTCTTGCTGATCACCTTGTGAGGCCCTGAGTCTGTCTTTTCCTTCCCACACTGAAGTCAGACGCCTGCATCTTCTCCCACCACCTGTAGCTGGCTGCTGTGTAGCACGTGGCTGCTCTCGACCATCTGGCACAACATCCTCCTCTCCAGAGGCGCTGAAACTTCTCTGGTTGCCCTGACGGTCAGCTTGAGGAACCATTTTTTGAGGACCACCTACAATTAATGAGCAGGGAGTCAATCAGAAAGTTACCAGTCTTATAGGACAGTGGGAATCCAGTTCCAAGAACTACAAAAAGCCACATTCTTCTCCTCATACCTTACAGACAACCACAAAACTGAGTCAACACCAACAGCCATCTTCAAAGAAGAACAGTAACTTATCTTATTGCCTACCTTGCTGCAAGAGATCCTCCTTTCTCTCCTCCTAGATAGAGACCACAAGAAGGTAACTCTACAGCCATGGTGGGGATGCCGAAGCTAGAAGAAGGAAAAGACCCATGGGAGGAGGAGCCAGCACAGCATCTACTCATCTGTAATCAGCAAAGCCTCCAAGCTGCAGCAACAACATCCTACAGCTTCATGAAATGGGCTGGGGAGAGCTCCCCAAAGCTGTGCCTGGTAAGAAAGGACTGAAATAAATAGTCTTTTTTTTTTTTTTTTCTATGACTGCCCTGCAATATGTAAGCCTATTTTATTATAAAGTTTTTCTTTTTTTTTTTTTTCAATCTCACCGTTCTGTGCAGGTGCTCACTAGAGCAGGTGCTTTTTTCATTATAGCTATGTTTCCCAATTTTTGTAAAAGTGCAGTCCTCCTTCCAGATTATCCAACCTTTATACAGCCCCAGTTCCAAGTACTCTAGATCTGCACTATCTTAAGTATTGCTTAACTTTTTTTCTAGTACTTTGTGGACTCCTCTGAGCCCCCTTTATGACTCTTTGGGGACCATGACATAACTGAAAAAAACAGTCTTAAACAGAAGAGGAGGTAAATGATTTTCTGCAATGCCTTCCAAGTCTTAGGTGCTGTACAAAGAGAGAAGGCAGCTCTGAAATAAAGAATTAGCCAAGGAAAGGCACATCTGATTTTTAAAACAAGTGTCACTTTGTCTTTGGAAAAGCAAAATTATGAACATCTGTGAATGGCAGTCTCTGTACACAGACCCACAGACCGTCTCTCTGTACAAGAGACAATCCAAAGTGTATGTTTACTAAATGTACTAAAATGTACTCGAAGCTTGACAAACTTCTTGTGGACACTAGATGTTTTGATGTCTATGATTATAAGCATAAACATCATGTTTTGAAAGAAAGCAGTGCAAACCCTAGGTTGGAAACAAATCTGTACTGGTAATATCTTATGTTTTCTCCTTGTCATAATTGAGAAGTAGCTAATTGAATGCAGACTTATTAAATGACTAGCACCAGGCCATAGCAAGCTTGCTTCGTTTCCGGGCTCCTCCACTACGTACGTGTTCAGAAATAAAATGCTTCTTTCAATTCCTGATCTGTCAAAGTCAAGGGTATTATTTCAGGAGTTACTGCTGGGGGAGGTGGGGCTGGGCAAGGCAAGAAGTTGGGGTGAACAAATGCCTGATGATCCAGCTCATATGACCTAATAGACTGTGTCACTGCCTTTGGGAAATACAAGCCTCTTGTCACATGCCCTTGGCTGGAAGGTCAGAAATAGAAAAGCCCAAGCTCAGAAAATGAAGCCCTCCAGCTGAGAAAAATAATCCAACCATGGATTGGCAAAAAGCCTTTTTTTCCCCACCTGCTTTTTTTTTTTTTTTTTTTCCTTCAAAATTTCTGACTTGACATGTTGCTGTAGTGCACTTCACATCTGATTAAATTAGTCGCATTGCATTATGCTATATCAAATGTGACATGATGCAATGGAATGTGAACAGTGTACAAAGAAGCACTGGCATCAACTAACTGCTACCTGCTTCTGACTCACATAGGCATATTAGCAGCAGGTACAAGAGACATATGAGGTCCAAATCCTTCCTCGTTGCTAAATCGTGCTTTTGCAGTCCATTGTTATGTTCTTCTGTTGCTGCATAACTTTGAATCAAAATAATAATCTGCTACTGAAGAAATTGTTAAATAAACATTCCTCCTGCAAGCCCTCCGCACCTGCTTGTGATAAGACGTTAAAAGGTATCTGATGAGGAATCTCTTACAAGGCATCTCTTACAAGGATGCTAGATACAATAACTGAAAGATTAGTGAGATGCTGAGTATATAGATAATTGTGACCTACAGAGAACTGAGTAAAGGCATCATGTTATTGCTTATGTACACACAGTGAGTATTATTCTCAGGCTGCAGGAATCATACCATCGGGAAACTGTAAATTGTGACGCTCTGACTAAGCACCTCCTGTTAGTCTTTTATCAGTGCAGCTCTTGGGGGGCTCTGGTAGAAGGAATTAAAGCTCCTACTCACATGTAGAGCACAGGAAAGTGCTGATACTACATCTGCTTTTTGAGGAATAAGTGCCCTTTCCTGTGCATGGCAAAACAGCTGGAAGGAACAGAGAAAGCCTCTGCTAAATTAATACTGACAAGGCCGCAACAGGCATGTAGCCCAGTATGTATGCAATATGGTCTTGAAGTTTTGTTTGTAGAACAACTTGAAAGAAGCACGAATAGTTTTTGGAAGAGGGTCAATATAACCATCTATTTGCCTAAAAGCTTTTAGCTCATTGTTCTTTTTCTTGGACGGTTCGTGGAAACTGATAAGAGCATTGAGCATGCAGCAGCTGATTGAGTCTTCCAATGGAAGGACTACCTAAGTATCTAGTAATTATATGCTATGGAATATATTTTTCCCTCTCTCTGTTTTTATTTTAGTTGTAGAAGTTCCTGGGTCAGGTGTTGTGGAGAACCGTGGTGTAACAGAAAGCTCTTCTTTCTCTCCTTTCTCCTTTTGTCTTATTTGGCCAAGGCTCCTGTGACCAAAGGAGATTAATTAAACAGAGGCAATGGGGACCCCTGTGACACAAGGCTTTGAGACACTACACAAAACTGAAGAAGCAGATTTCTATAACTAGGGAGGCTTCAGAAATTCATTGCTTCAGTGAGTTTGGTCATAATGCATATGCTAATACCCTATTTTACATGGAGAACTATGTACACTTTGTGTGCTTCTTACACAGCATTTACTTTCCTTGTCATGATAAGATAATGGACATTTTTTGACGTTATTTCTATGGCATCTCTTACAATAGAAGTCCTATTGCCCAGGGTTTCTAAGTACATTGTCAGATGTATGGTTATAACATATCTGTGAAAATAAGAGCTTTAAAAATTAAAGTTGTATTCCCATACCTTATTTGCAAGTTACTTCATGTTGTCTAATTCTCAGATGATGTCATATCTAAAAACGTCATGGTCTGAATTGTCTGGTATTATCATCCAGGATTTTCTTTTCCTCAAAATTCCCACTGTTAGTTAAGCTAGGCATCTAAAATAAGTGATATGTGTCCTGCAGCTTAACTGTAAATCCTTTGGACTAATTAAAATCTTAGTTTGGCTCGAGAGTGTGATGGACATCAAAGAAGAAGATGCCAATCAGGATACCTGGTCACACAGACCTCTCTTGGGCAAACACCCATGGATCTCCAAGGAATTCAGTCCACTAAACAATTTCTGATCTGGACCTGTTCTTCTTTGAATGCTTTATAGTAAAAGCAGTAATGGAATGTGCTCTTCCTTCCTTCTCCTATACATTGCAATTTGAATCTTTTCCAATATGTGGTCCAGAAAGAGAGGATCAGTGAGAGTGTGCCCTGCATTCCCTTTTTATTTGTCTTACTATTCTTCCTATTTCTTCTCATTCAAATTCATACAAATTTAATAAGTGAAATAAATAACAAAAGGCAATGTTTTCTAATTATGCATATATGTAACATCCATGCTTCCATAGCTGACCTTCGCATTTATTTAGTCTAGAGCCTCAGTATGTGTATCTCAGCACTGAGGAAAATAGAAGAATTACTATTTATTACCAAAGTCACTGTCATGGAAAAGCTGTGGTGTCCCCTTCTTTATTCATCCATTTGGTTTTGTCTGATAAAAAAGGCATTTCAAAAACGTGATGTCTATGTGTGTATGTGCATGTGCACACATGCCTGTCCAAAAGTGGTGATTACAGTGGCCATCACTAAATCACGAGCTTTCCAGTCACTGGGAGGCAGTGTGAGTGTTCCCAGTCACTAGCAAACCTTGTGCTGGAAAGGAACACGCAGGTGAGCACTTGTGAGACTAGGAGACTCTGTAGCTGCCTTTGTAGGAAGAGTATAAGGTTTTATAAAAACATATGAAGTAGAATAGCTACTGCTGCTATAAAACCAATGAAACCAATGTTCGGTCATTCCTGAGCAGAGAGGGCTGTGGAATGGGAAGGGGGAGGATTTGTAATTAAGCCTAGATAATATGCAGTCACCAATTTAGGAGTGCAGACATCCCTGGCTTCCTACAGCCAAGAAAAAGGAAAGAGCAAGAGAATAGCTCTTCTAGGAGGCATTTCAAGTCTGAGAAGACTGAGATTGTTTTTGGAGGGGCTGTCTGTACACCAACTCCACATTGACTGGAGTTACTGGTACCACAGGAGGTACTGGTGTGACTCAGATGTCTCAGTGAAGAAGAATCTGAGCTTTTGGTCTCAGACATGCTAACAAGTTACTATACGGTAGCAAGGGACTGTTTGGAAACGACCTCAGTAAATTCCTGCTTTAGAAGGGCACCCAGATGTCTCTGTGTGTAGTTGTTATGCTCATGTCTCTTGGGAGCTGCCTGACCACCTGTCTGGATGTCCCTTAAGTATAAATAAGGGTTGTGACATGATGTTTATGGATGTGAAAGCAGAGGCAATGCAAGTGAAAGCCTGTATAAGGTCATGGGATGACTAGAGGTGGGTTTAGGACTAATGATTGTGATTGCCTATTTGTACTTCTTCCTTAACTAGGAGAGATAGTTTTGAATCCATCAGTCAAAGCGAAAGTAAAGTATCCAGAAGCTTTGTGAACTGGGAAGAGAAGACACCCATAGAATTACCTTCAGCTCCATAGAGGAATTGTTTGGAGAGTGAGGCATGGTTAAACAGATGCTTTTCCCTAGTAACTGCCTATGTCTAGTCTGAAGAGCACCCAGGAGCACTTCTGAGCTCTCAGGTCTGAGTATGTGTCCCAGGTAGGTCCACACCAATGGACTCCCTCATGCTCCTGCTTTCACAGTAGAGAAATCCAGTCATATGTTAACATGTCTCTTGGAAGGAGCCAAGTACTCACTCAAGACCATCATGTTTTGATATAGCCCTTTCCCTAAAAAAAAACACCCAAGAGAAGAAAATCCAAATCAGAGGAAGTTTTCTCAGGCACTTAATGGAGACCCTCTAAGCTGCCTTGAAAACTT